TTTTTGAGTTGAAGTCTCACTCTGTCGCCCAGACCGGAGTGCAGTGGCCGCTTCTGGCCACTGCAGCCTCGACCTGCTGGGCTCCGGTGATCCTTCAGACTCAGTCTTCTGAGTAGCTGGAACTACAGGTGCGCGCTACCACACCCGGCTAATTTTTGATTTATTGTAGAGATGAGGTTTTGCCAAGTTGCCTAGGCGGGTCTAGAACCTGCGGGCTCAGGCAATCCACTCACCTCAGCTTCTCAAAGGCACGGGATTACAGGCTGAGCCACTGAGCCCGGCTTAAATTTTTTATTTTAAAGATGTGGGGTCCACTTCAGGGTTAGGTATACACATGTTCATTATGCAGACACCCTTGTTGATGAGATGTGTCCTCCTACCCCTGGCAGTTTCCCACTACTGCCAATCCCTTTCTTATAGTATTATGATAATTATTCAAGGTCTGTTTATGAGTGAGAACATGTAGTATTTTTCCTTTTCCATGATTCCTGACCCATGGCTCCTGTAGTAGAATAATCCAATGACCTCATCTCTTTGTTATCCCATCTGCCATACTTTTATCTTTTGAAGATTAGATCATGCTCCTTTTTACTCCTAGAAGTAGTGACATCCAGTATCTCTTGTAAATACCTGTTTCTAGCCTCAGACTCTCCTATCCAGGGTGTTAGTCCTGGAGACCACAGGAGTTCCACAACGAAGTGCCAACATGTGCAGGGCAGTTGGGTTCAGTGTTAGCCTGCCTCTCCCATATGTGATAAGGATTGAGATAATCACTGGACATTTCTCCTGGCCCCATGTGCAACCTGCCCTCCCATCAGTCACCACAGACCAGCGTCTCCCCCTGCCCCCCGAGTGCTGTGCACTGTTCATCTACTTCTCAGGTTTAATTCTCATAATTAATTTGATTATTTTTCTCATCTTCTCTATATCTAGTTAAGCCATTAAATCATAATTTTTCCTACCTAGCACTAGTGATTTCACTGGGGTTTTTTTTCCTTCTTCTTTATTTATTTATTTTTTTTCAGTTGGAGTCTCACTCTGTCACCCAGGCTGACATGCCATGGCAGACTCACGGCCTCCCCAGCGTTGACCTGCTGGGCTCTGGTGATCCTTCTGCCTCAGCTTTCCAAGTAGCTGGAACTGCAGGCGTGCTTTTTTTTTTTTTTTTTTTTGAGTTGAAGTCTCACTCTATCACCTAGGCTGGAGTGCAGTGGCATGCTCACAGCCACCACAGCCTCAACCTGCTGGGCTCAGGAAATCCTTCCACCTTGGTCTTTCTTTTTTTAATTTTTTTATTTTTTATATTTTATTTTTTTGAGTTGGAGTCTCACTCTGTTGCCCAGACTGGAGTGCAGTGGCTGCTCCCAGCCACCGCAGCCTCGACCTGCTGGGCTCTGGCGATCCTTCTGCCTCAGCCTTCCAAGTAGCTGGAACTACAGGCGCGCACTACCATGCCCGGCTAATTTTTTTTTTTTTAATTTATTGTAGAGATGAGGTCTCACCAAGTTGCCCAGGCGGGTCTCGAACCTGCGGGCTCAGGCAATCCACCCACCTCAGCCTCCCAAGGCGCGGGATTACAGGCTGAGCCACCAAGCCCGGCTCCACCTCAGTCTTTCAAGTAGCTGGAACCACAGGCATGTGCCACCAGGTCTGGTTAATTTTTTTTAGTTATTATAGAGATGAGGTCTCGCTATGTTGCTCAGGCTGGGTCTCAAACCCCTGAGTCAATCCTCTCGTCTCAATCCTCTCGTCTCCTCCTCCCAAAGTACTAGGATTATAGGCATGCACCATCGCATGCCTACAATGGCCTCATTTTTTTTCTATTCTAATCTATTTTATGGACAGTAATAGACTGTTCTGTTGAACATATAATGACACCTTTTTTTCTAATTAATTTTGGAAAGACTTTTAAATGTTGTGAGTATAAAAAATAAGACAAAATTACTTATGGTCTCTGACTCAGAGATAATCTGTTTTGTAATATGTGTGTGCATCCTTGTAACCCTTTGTCCTGTGTATAGATGAACTTTGTGCAAATACAGAATTGGTAATGTGCTGCTCTTTTCTCTTTAGTCTGGAAATATTGGGATGTTAAACAGCCAACTGGTATTCTATCCTGTGGTTCCACTGTCATAACCTCGTTCATGAGGGGGGACTCCAAAAACCTGGAATGTATTTATAAAAAATTGTGTATTTATTCTTACATGTTTAAACTTCAGTCACCTTTGAAATACTTCCTGTTTGATGCAGTACACCTATTGAAACCCTTTTTCCATTGCTCAAAACAGTTTTTGAACTCATCAATTTTTGCCTTTTAGTGTGTCGGCCGTTTTTTGTTTTACCTCTTCCACATTGGCAAAATGTTTCCCCTTGTAGACTTTTTTCAACCCGGGAAACAAAAAAAAAGTCTCTCTGGGTAAGATCAGATTAATAGGGAGAGCAAGGTATGGGGGTCATGCTGTTTTTGGCCAAAAACTGTTGAACTCTCAGCAAGGTGTGGGCTGATGTGCTTGTAAATCACCCATCATAAAATGGGAAACACATTAAAAGAATCTCCCCAAAAGAATTCACTGAAGCTGAATGCAGCCTCTCACAATAACACTAGTTTGGGCGAGCCTGGGATACTACCAGGGATCCACCCTCTAAAAGAGAATTCTGGCTTTTGGGGGGTTCCCCTTTGTATTTAACTAGCATTCAAATACTGAACATTTAGGTTACTGATTGTTTTATAATTATAAATTATTATATGATGAACAGGTTGAAAATCTTAGTACATGTCAATGTTTTCTTTTCTTCTTTTTTTTTTTTTTTCTTTTTGAGTCGGAGTCTCACTCTGTCGTCCCGGCTGGAGTATAATGGCACCCTCACGGCCACCATAGCCTCAGCAGCCACCACCTGCTGGGCTCAGGTGATCCTTCAGCCTCAGCCCTCCAAGTAGCTGGAACTACAGGCACATGCCACCATGCCCTGCTAATTTTTTGATTTATTGTAGAAATGAGTTGCCCAGGCTGGTCTCAAACCCGTGGGCTCAGGCAATCCACTCGCCTGGGCTTCCCAAAGTACTGGGGTTATAGACGTGAGCCACCATGCCCTGCCATGTCACTGTTTTCTTCTTCTTTCTTTTTTTTTTAGTTGACCCAGGCTGGAGTGCTCTAGCATGCTCATGGCCACCCCAGCGTCAACCTGCAGAGCTCAGGCAGTCCTTCCGCCTCAACCTCCCGAGTAGCCGGAACTACAGGTGTGCGCTACCACGCCAGCTAATTTTTGATTTCTTGTAGAGATGAGGTCTCGCCAAGTTACCAGGCTGGTCTCAAACCCGTGGGCTCAGGCAATCTACTCGCCTCGGCTCCCAAAGTGCTGGGATTACAGGCTGAGTCACCGAGCCCAGCCCAAGTCATTGTTTTCTAAGGATCATTTCTTGGAAGTAGAATTTATAGGTTCAAGGAAGCATTTGAATATTTTATCTCTTTTTAAGGCTTTTGATACACAGCATCTATCTCCCCTGACTAATCTTGGTGGAGTGATTTTAACCTGCTGTTCTTTTGCTCTGTGCTTCTTGTGGCTCATTCCCGGGTCTGTGCTCTCTTCTCTCCTAGCCAGGATCACTTTCCCCACCACCCCGGGGTCTTTGCCTCCCAGGAACAGCCCCATCCCCTCCCTTCATAGTGTCCCCCCCTCTCCTCCCTCATGCTGTGCTTTGTGCTGGTGCTGGCTCAACTCACTGTCTCCCTCTTCACTCATCTACATGTTCTGTTTGACAGTATAATAGTTTTCATACTATTCTTAAAAATTCACTGAATTCAGGAGAATATTGTTCAAATGTTTTGTTGTAGATGCATGGATCTGTGAAATAGCTACATTCTGTGGAAGTTTATCATTTTAAACAGTGTAAGGGCCGGGCTCAGTGGCTCAGCTTGTCATCCTAGCACTTTGGGAGGCCGAGGCGAGTGGATTGCCTGAGCCTGCAGGTTCGAGACCAGCCTGGGCAACTTGGCGAGATCTTGTCTTGACGATAAAATAAAAAATAACTGGGCGTGGTAGCATGTGTCTGTAGTTCCGGATACTCAGAAGGTTGAGGCGGAAGGATCACCGGAGCCCAGCAGGTCGAGGCTGAGGCGGCCGGGAGCAGCCACTCTGCACTCCAGTCTGGGCAATGGAGTGAGACTCCAACTCAAAAAAAAAAAACAGTGAGCCGGGCTCGGTGGCTCAGCCTGTAATCCCGCGCCTTTGGGAGGCTGAGGTGAGTGGATTGCCTGAGCCCACGGGTTTGAGACCCGCCTGAGCGACTTGGCGAGACCTCATCTCTACAATAAATCAAAAATGAGCCGGGCATGGTAGCACGCGCCTGTAGTTCCAGCTACTTGGAAAGCTGAGGCAGAAGGATCGCTGGAGCCCAGCAGGTCGAGGCTGCGGTGGCCGGGAGTGGCCACTGCACTCCAGTCTGGGTGACAGAGTGAGACTCCAACTCAAAAAAAATAAATAAATAAAAGAGATGTTCGTTTGTTAATTGCCAAGATATCCTGCCATTCCAATGACCTTCAGACTTTAAGAAAATAAAAAATAATTCTCAGCACCCCCAAAACCAGGACATAAGTTAAAAGTTAGGCATCTGTGCTTTATTTTCATGGAAAACAGAGTTGGGTCAATGTCTAATCATGTGCGCGTTTCCAAGGCATGCCTATAATCAGACTGTCCTAGATGCCTGTGGTGCCATCTCATTCTCCTGGCAATGCTCTGCAAGTGTCACCTCACCTCCCCATGACAGCCTCCTGCATCAAGGGGCTACCATGGGTCACTTACTTCCTGCCCCAGGGTTCCTCTTATTAGTCTTCTTCAAGCACACAGATGTGTCTCAATCAATGGGGGGGTGGGTGTCCTGGGTGGGCAAATACTTTTACTTTATCTATCCTTAGATGGATGATTTTGAAAAACCTTTTAGGAGTTCTGCAGAAGGTCCCTAATCTAACACCTGTTGCCCTCACAACTTTATGTTGACTCCCCCCCCACCGCCGACCCTTTATTCTTGCTCCATGGAACTACCACCTAATATGCTCCCTGCACACAGGTCCTTGTTGTCTTTGGTTCTGCTTTTACATAGAAGCCAAGCTAAGACTGAGTCATCGTCTATACCTCACCAAGCAGAATATAGTGTTGTGGGGGGGGGGTATAAAGTCAGATCTGGGTTTGAATTCCAGCTCTGCCATTTATTTACCATTTTCTTTGAGGAGAGTAACTTCTTTGAGCCAGCTGGCAAATATAATACCCAATGTTTTCAGGGGACGAAAAGAAAAAATAGAAATAATGAATTTCAAAAGTTTCCTTAAAAACAACTGTAAGTTGGCCGGGCATGGTGGCTCAAGCCAGTAAACCAGTACTTTGAGAGGCTGAGGTGAGGGGATTGCCTGAGTCCACAGGTTCGAGAACAGCCTGGGGAACTTGGCGAGACCTCATCTCTACAATAAATCAAAATTAGCCGGGCATGGTAGCACGTACCTGTAATTCTGGCTACTCGGAAGGCTGAGGCAGAAGGATCGCCGGAGCCCAGCAGGTCAATGCAGGGGTGGCCTGGACTGCACTCCAGCCTGGGCGAAGGAGTGAGACTCCAACTCAAAACAGAAAAAAAAACAGTGTAAGGACTAGTTATATTTATCTGTAAACAATGTGTTGGTTATGTGAAATGGATGACTATTTTTTTTTACTTACTGACGTGACAATATATGATTACCCCTTTAAATATACTTTTATTCATTTTCTGTATATTAATTACTTCGTTAAGATAACTGGTAAAATAGTTATTTTAAAAGATAATGTAGATGCTATTGTTAAATTTTGAATACATGCTTATTTCATGGAATTTACTAATTATGCTCACTTTATTTTGACATTACTAATTAATGGTTATGGAATTATTCTTTTGTCTGATAGAATGGTGAACACAGAAGTCGAGGTTCAAGTTTAAAAAGAGAAAGGACCAGCGGCCAGTAAGGAATATGCGCATCCTGTGGTTGATTATCCTGTATAATACAGTTCTCATTGTCACAGAGTGCTTTAGTAATGAATTTTTCTTTTCTTTTTTTTTTTTTGAGTCAGAGTCTCACTTTGTTGCCCAGGCTGGAGTGCAGTGGCATGCTCATGGCCACCACAGCTTGGACCTGCTGGGCTCAGGCAATCCTTTCACTTCAGCCTTCCATGTAACTGGAACTATAGGCCACCATGCACGTCTAATTTTTTGATTTATTGTAGAGATGAGGTCTCACCAAGTTGCCCAGGCTGGCCTCAAATCCCTGGGTTCAGTCAGTCCTCTTGCCTCCACCTCTCAAAGTGCTGGGATTACAGGCGTGAGCTACCATGCCTGGCTGAATTTTTCTTACTGGGCCTGATTATAGCCAGTAAGTGGGAATAGATTATAGATATATTTCATTTTCTCTAGATCTAACTCCTCCAAAGGAGGAGCTTGGAAACTTGTTATAAATTACTAGCTTTTTTGACTTTTAAAATATTTGCTCATGCAACATTAGAAAATTGATATTCACTTTGAGGAGAAAAATTCATTTGAGAGTCTCTTAATGTACAAGAGGTAATCACTCTTCTGCCTGAAATGAGCATATATCTGCAAGTGGACGGGTTAGCCCTTTTGTAGGCATAAGCAAACTCATCCTTGTTCACACCCACTAAAAACATGACATGCCAGCAAGTCTCTCCCTGCCTAGTGTTTGTCAGTTGTGAACACAAAGGAAAGAGCTCTCAGCCCGCAGAGATAGTGAGAACAGGGGAGAGAGTACCAGCCTTGGTTGGAATCTCATTTGGTCTGCCTCTTGGTTGTGATGTTGGGTGGCCTTTTGGTAAAACTATAATACTAATACCTATTCTATGAAGATTACAGATTAGAGTTAATGTGTAAACTCTCATTTTATATATAAGCCCTAGATTTTAATTTTTTTTTTTATAACAACCATATTTTTTTATTCTTTTTCATAGATTAGGAAAACTCATGTTTTGGGTAATTACCCAAAGTTTCACAAGTTTGAGCAAAGCTAACACTGAAACTTAGAAGGTCAAATTCCTAGATTCTATAATGCAAAAAATACACCAAAGAGCCTTTTTTTTTTTTTTTTGAGTTGGAGTCTCACTCTGTCGCCCAGACTGGAGTGCAGTGGCCGCTCTCGGCCACCGCAGCCTCGACCTGCTGGGCTCCGGCAATCCTTCCGCCTCAGCCTTCCGAGTAGCTGGAATTACAGGCATGCGCTACCATGCCCAGCTGATTTTTTGATTTATTGTAGAGATGAGGTCTCGCTGCTCAGGTGGGTCTCGAACCCGCAGGCTCAGGCAATCCACTCACCTCAGCCTCCCAAGGCGCCGGGTTACAGGCTGAGCCACTGAGCCCGGCAAAGAGGCTTTTTTGTTAATTCTGTATGTCTGTTAAACCACATGTTACACTGAGTTGGTATGAATGTAAGTTCTAAAAATTGACAATGGGTTTGAAATTTTGAAAATCTCTATTTTAGGTCCCAGCTAACGTATAAAATATGACTAAAAAATAAAACATATTTCAAGATAAAGCTTTCTTTTGAAAATACAAATATTATATTAAACATCAAATAGCACTTGGGATTGACTGTCTAGTAAAATTACAGGAAATTTCTAGAACTCTTACAGGATATAGATGTGCACACCAACACACACACATTTGTTAAAGTGCGTGGTTTCATCTTCATGTGGAAGATCTTTTATATCTTGAATTGCTGCTGTAACAGAAAATAGGTTAGGAAGACTTTAGCACTCATAGTTCTAATAAAATATGCTTTGTCAACCTACAGCAGTTTTTAATGATATCATATCAAAATACAAGAGGCTTCACTGATGTAGAGAACATTTTATTTTTTTAAATTCTCAGTTAAAAGCAAAATTTGATTTTGATTATGTTTTCTTTCCAGGCATGTAGAGAATTTAGTAAGGAATAATGGAAAAGATAAAGATTCAAGAAGGAAGGTGAGGCGGTCTACACTGGTGGCATGTAGGTTTATGTGTTTGTTGATCTATTTCTTTCTAGTTTTTATTTGAGTCAGAGTCTCACTCTGTCACCCAGGCTGGAGTGCAGTGGCATGATCATGGCTCCCTGCAGCCTCAGAGTACTGGGCTCAGGTGTTCCTTCTGTCGCACCCTCCCTAGTAGTTGTGGCGACAGGTGTGCACCACCATGCCTGGCTAATTTTTTGGTTTTTTTGTAGAGACGAGGTCTTGTTATATTGCCCAGGCTGGTCTCGAAATCCTGGGGTCAAGCAATCTTCACACTTTGGCCTCCCGAAGTGCTGGGATTACAAGCATGTACCACTGCATCCAGTTTAGATTTTATGATGCATTCAGATTAGCCATGATCTTGGTTTGGACTTCCCCTTGAAAGCAGAGCCTGAGACAGGACTTGTTTATAAACAGTTTGAGTTGCAATCCCAGAAGGCACACTGGAGACTCACTTTAAATGAGAAGATTTAAGTAGGTTGAAAGTAAAAAGGTGGACAAAGAAACTATCAGACAGCAGCTATGAGAGGGCTGGAGTGGCTGTACTAATATTAGACAAAATAGATTCTGTGACAGAAAGACAATTCAGAATGACCTATTAATTTGTTCAGCAGAGAGATATAACAATTATAAATGAACACTTAACAAGAGAGCCCCAAAATACAAGAAGCAAAAACTGACGGAATTGAAGGGAGAAATAGACACGTCACAATAATAGAGAATTTAGCACCCCACTGTTGAGAATGGATAGAACAACATTTTATGCTAACATATTACACAATTTAGATGAAAGGGACAAATTCCTAGAGACATAAATTACCAAAACTACTTAAAGAAGAAATAGTGTTGGGCACGGTGGCTCACGCCTGTAATCCCAGCACTTTGGGAGGTACAGGCAACAGGATTGCCTGAACCCAGGGGTTCGAGATCAGCCTCGGCAACTTGGCGAGACCTTGTCTATACAATAAATAAATTTTTAAAAATTAGCTGGGTGTGGTGGTACACGCCTGTAGTTCCAGCTACTTGGAAGGCTGAGGCAGAAGGATTGCCTGAGCCTGATAGGTTGAGGCTATGGTGGCCTTGAGTGTGCCACTATACTCCAGCCTGGGTGACAGAATGAGACTCTGATTAAAAGAAAAAAAAAAGCCTGAATAGATCTATAATAACTAAAGTAGTAGTAGTGTTAAGAATCTTTCCACCAAGAGGCCAAGGCTAAGATGTCTTCTCTGGCAAATTTTATCGAATACTTGTTATTAAAAACTTAGAAGGTAATTAAACTCAAAATCTCTTTTCTTATATAATTGTTTCCATGTTTTAAGTTACCTTGTGTATATATATATATGTTTATACATGGTGAGAATTGTACTGTGTACTTTTTTCACTTAGTTTATCAGAATTTCTTCATGGTCTTCACTTTTTTATTCCTTCTTCATAATTATCATAAGAATTGTCTTCATAGTGATTATGATTATTATTATTTTTTGAGTTGGAGTCTCACTCTGTTGCTTAGGCTGGCATGCAGTGGCACGCTCATGGCCACCATAGCCTCGACCTGCTGGGCTGTTTCTACTGCTGGGCTCAGTTTCTACTTCTTCTTCAGCCTTCCAAGTAGCTGGAACTACAGATGCATGCTACCACACCTGGCTAATTTTCTGATTTATTGTAGAAACGAGGTCTCACCAAGTTGCCCAGGCTGGTCTTGAACCTCTAAGCTTAGGCAGTCCTCCCGCCTTGGCCTCCCAAAGTGCTGGGATTACAGGCTTGAACCACTGTGCCCAGCTATAATGATGATTTAATAACTATAAAATAGTACACGAGATTTATAATTACTATCAAAACATTTTCCTAGTATTTTGTTTTGTTATTGCAGATAGCATGGCAAACATATTTTGGCTTCTGTAGAATTATTTCTGAAGAATAATTTTTTCTTTCTTTGGTTGTTATCTGAAACCCATGACCTTGAGATCATCATATTTAACAACTTGTTGCCATATTTTTATGAATCTCTTTGTTCCATATACGTACAAAAACACTTGTAATATTACATAAGTTAGTTCATATGGCAGCTATTTTGATGTAGATATGTTTTATTCTGGAGATTTATTTTGGAGATTGTAGTTGTATTGCTTACTATTTAGTTATAACCACACCCTTACCACAGAAAAAACATTAGCCTAAAGGTATTTGTTGTCATATGACTTTTTTTCCTCATGTGATCTTTTATAATCATATATATATATTTTTGAGTTGGAGTCTCACCCCGTTGTCCAGACTGGAGTGCAGTGGCACGCTCCTGGCCACCGCAGCCTCGACCTGCTGGGCTCTGGCAATCCTTCCGCCTCAGCTTTCCAAGTAGCTGGAACTACAGGTGCATGCTACCACGCCCGGCTAATTTTTGATTTATTGTAGAGATGAGGTCTCACCAAGTTGCCCAGGCGGGTCTCGAACGTGCAGGCTCAGGCAATCCACTCACTTCAGCCTCCCAAAGCAAGGGATTACAGGCTGAGCTACTGAGCCCGGCTTATAATCATATATTAATATATGTATATATATTTGGTTGTTTGGATGACATTTTTTGTTTTACACACACACACACACACACACACACACACACACACACACATACACACACAATCAGTCACTCACTGTGCAGCCTCCTGTTTCTCCCAGTTACTTGTGGAAATTCCTCCAGTTCAGATAATCTAGAACTTCCTCATTCTTTTTTTTTTTTTTTGAGTTGGTGCCTCACTCTATCACCCAGGCTGGAGTGCAGTAGCATACTCACAGCAGCCTCAACCTACTGGGCTCAGGTGATCCTTCCACCTCAGCCTTCCAAGTAGCTGGAACTACAGGCGCATGCTAATTTTTTAATTTATTGTAGAGATGAAGTCTCGCTAAGTTACCCAGGCTGGTTTTGAACCCCTGGACTCAGGCAATCCTCTCACCTTGGCCTCCCAAAGTGCTGGGATTACAGGCTTGAACCACTGCCTGGCCTATGGATAAACTTTGAAGTGGAATTATGGAGTTATGAGATGAAAATATATTTATTTTTCTGTTTTCATGTCTCCTAATTTTTTCTAAGCTCCAGATTACAATGATCACTAGAATTATAATGTGAACCACATTTATAATTTTAAATTTTCTTATAGTCATATTAAAATCATAAAAAATAAACATGAAGTTAATTTTAATAACATTTTTTATAATCCAATAAATCTAACATAGTGTCCTTTCAAACTGTAATCAATATAAAATTATCAATGACATATTGTATATATATATTTTTTTACCACAGGTTAATAATATTTTGCACATATGGAAAATTCTTTGTTTTCTTTATGAATAATACATTATAATTGTCACTAGTTTTAGACTCTACCTAGTTTTGGGTAGTGACTTCTTTTTTTTTTTTTTGAGTTGGAGTCTCACTCAGTCTCCCAGACTAGAGTGCAGTGGCCGCTCCCGGCCACCGCAGCCTCGACCTGCTGGGCTCCGGCCATCCTTCCGCCTCAGCCTTCCGAGTAGCTGGAATTGCAGGCATGCGCTACCACGCCCGGCTGATTTTTTGATGTATTGTAGAGATGCGGTCCCGCCAAGTTGCTCAGGCGGGTCTCGAACCTGTGGGCTCAGGCAATCCACTCACCTCAGCCTCCCAAAGGCACGGGATTACAGGCTGAGCCACCGAGCCCGGTGGTAGTGACTTCTAAATGTCCTAAATGTCATATCTTCCTAGCATCAGTGACAACAGGTGACACTTATGAGGCTTTTCTTCTGTCAGATGCAGGGATCAGTTCTTCATGTGCATTATTTGGCCATTCCTCTCACTGGTACTATGAGGTAGGTGTTGTGGTTCTCCTTATTTGTCAGAGGAGAAAACTGAGGCACAAAGAGGTGAAGTTAGTTGCTCTGAGTCACACAGTTTGTAAACCACAGAGCTGGGATCCACATCCCAGAGCTTTTGCTTCCTAGTCTGCACCACCTGCTGAAGGGAGCGCCCTCTGGAGGAGATGGATGTCACCCTTGTGTCCCTGGAGTCTTGCTGTGTCCTGGCTGGCTAACTGACTGTCTTCTCTCTATTAGCATGGCCACAAGGAAGGTGCATCTGTCTGGCTGTCAGCTCAGAGGCAAGGCAGCGAGGAGGCTACGGTAAGGAGAGTGCTTCTTTTATATTTTCACAATCCTGTCCAAACAGACTTCCGCTCATATTTATTTTCCTACTCCCATTTATTAGTGTGATTATTGTCCCTTTTGGACCACAGAACATCACTATGAAGGGGATAGATGAGCCTTTTTTTTTTGAGTTGGAATCTCACTCTGTCACCCAGGCTAGAGGGCAGTGGCACGCTCACGGCTATTGCAGCCTCAACCTACTGGGCTCAGACAATCCTTCGGCCTCAGCCTTCTAAATAGCTGGAACTACAGGCACATGCCACCATGCCCAGCTAATTTCTTTTTCTGATTTATTGTAGAGATGAGGTCTCACCAAGTTGTCCAGGCTGGTCTCGAAACCATGGACTCAGGCAATCCTTTCACCTTGGCTTCCCGAAGTGCTGGGATTACAGGCATGAGCCACCACAGCCTGCCTAGCTGAACTTTTAATATGAGATTTATGTTTGCACCTGTTTGAAAGACCTTGGTCATGTTGAAGGCCATCTTGGCTGTAGTGTAGAGGAAGGCCACTGGGTGGTGTGCACACTCTCAGACCTCGTAGCCTCACTCCTCCGGAAGAGCAGGGAGGTTTTGTAACGATCTTTGCAGGCGAGAGGTTTCGGTTTCATGTATAGTCAGCCTTTTCATTGTTCCTCTGCATCATCGAACACAGCTGTAGAGATTTGAAGACGCTAAATAGGGAAATCAGAAAGGACACGATTCAGGCCATGATTGCTAAGAAATATACAAGGTCACAAATAATTTTCAGATATTTATGCAAAACCAGAGAGATCAAGGAATTGCCAGCATCCTCATATGTGAGGGAAAAATTGATAACAGGAGACTCTGAACAGAGTCTTGCCAGAGCTTGATGGGTATACTGAAAGAGTTTTCTCGGGGTACTGTGGGGGTGCTGAGCTCCTAGATGATGGTACCTTCTTGTCCCTGTTGTAGTAGTCTGTCCCCCAGTATAGTCCTAGCTCTGCCCTGCACCCTATTGTCTCCTCACCTGGCTGAGTGGCTGGCACACACTTGCTGTGTGTAAATGTTTGCTGAGCAGATGAATTGCAGTTTCAAAATCCTGGCGAGACACAGGACATGATAAAGGGTCATGAGCTCATACTGAGCTCAAACAAGAACAAGAAGTATGATGCTATTAGTTTTTTTTAAAACTCTTGTACAAGAAAAAAAAATTTGTTTTTTCTTGTAATCATATATAGTCACACTTTATATGACAATATGCCTAGAGGACCTTATTTTATTTTATTTTTTTATGAATTCTATTTTTTTCGAGCAGTTTTAGGTTCACATCAAAATTTAGAGGAAGTTACAGAGATTTTCCGAATACCTTCTGCCCCCACACATGCAGGGCTTCCCATATGATCACCGTCCCCACCAGAGTGGTCCATTTGTTACAATTGGTGGACCCACATTGGCACATCATAATCCCCCAAAGTTCATGGTTTACATTAGGGTTCACTCCTGCTGTTGTACATTCTGTGCATTTGGACAAATGTATCCACCACTACAGTATCATATAGTGCAGTTTCACTGTCCTAAAAATCCTCTGTGCTCTGCCATTCACTCCTCCCTCTCCCCTTATTCATGGTAATCACTGATCTTTTTACTATTTCTATAGCTTTTCCTTTTCCAGAGTGTTATATACAGATGCTCCTTGACTTATGATGGGGTTATGCTCTGATAAACCTATTGCAAGTTGAAAATATTGTAAATTGAAAATGCAGGCTGGGCTCGGTGGCTCAGCCTGTAATCCCAGCACTTTGGGAGGCCAAGGTGAGTGGATTTCCTGAGCCCGCAGGTTTGAGACCCACCTGGGCAACTTGGCGAGACCTCATCTCTACAATAAATTAAAAATTAGCCGGGTGTGGTAGCGCGCGACTGTAGTTCCAGCTACTTGGAAGGCTGAGGCGGAAGCCCAGCATGTTGAGGCTGCAGTGGCCGGGAGCGGCCATTGCACTTCAGTCTGGGTGACAGAGTGAGACTCCAACTCAAAAAAAAAAAAAAAAGAAAAAGAAAATGCATTTGACCACCTAACCTACCTAACGTCATAACTTAGCCTAGCCTACCTTGCACATGCTTGGAACACTTCCATTAGCCTATAGTTGGCAAAATCATCTAACACAAAGTATATTTTATAATCAAGTGTTTATTATCATATATAATTTATTGAATACACTTTACTATAGAATACAGGATCAGTTGTTTTCCCTTGTGGTCACTGACTGGGAGTTGTGGCTCACTGCGGCTGCCCACCATCATGAAAGGGTTTGTACCGAATATCACTAGCTCAGGAAAAAGTAAAAATTGAAATACAGTTTCTACTGAAAGTGTATCACTTTTGCACCATCGTAAAGTCGAGAAAAAAGTTGAACCTGCATAAGTCAAGGATTGTCTGTAGTTGGAATGATACAGTATGTTATTTCCTCAGATTGACTTCTCTCACTTAGTAATATGCATTTAAGCTCCTCTGTGTCTTTATAAGACTTGATAGCTACTTTCTTTTTAAGCTCTGAGTAGTATTTTATTGTATGGGCATACCACAGTTTATCCACTCATTTCTTGACGGACATCTTGATTACTTCCAAGTTTTGGCAATTAGGACTAAAGCTGCTATAAACATCTTATGTGCAGGTTTTTGTGAGGACATTAGTTTTCAGCTCTTTGGGGTAAATACCAAGGAATATGATTGCTGGATCATGTGTTAAGAATATGTTTAGTTTTGTAAGAAACTGCCAAACTCTTCTAAAAAGGCTGTTCCATTTTGCATTCCCACCAGCTGCATACAGGATGAGAGTTCCTGTTGCTCCACATGCTCACCAGCATTTGATGTTTGCAGTGTTCTGAATTTTGGTCATTTTAATAGGTATTTAATGATATCTCATTGTCATTTTAATTTGGATTTCCCTAATGACATATGTGAAACATCTTTTCATAGGTATATCTTCATATCTGTTTACTAGGGGGACCCCATAATACCCAGAATTATCTTTTGGAGGGCAGGCCCCCTACAGTACAGACTTCCCCTGCTGTGTAAGTGTTCTAGGAACCATTGGCATCAGTGTCCCAGCTAATGTTGTTGTGAGAGGCTGTGTTTGACTTCCCTGCTGTTTTGGAGACTCTTAAATGTGTTTGCCATTTCATGATGGGTGATTCATAAGCATACCTGCCCACATGGCACTGAGTGTTCAGCAGTTTTTGACCAAAACAGCACAATCCACATGGCCAACCCCCTCATTCATCCAATTTTGCTCCAAGCGACTTTTTTGGTTTTTTTTCTAGATGAAAAATGTCCTCAAAGGAAAATGTTTTGCCAATGTGGAAGCAGTGAGACAAAAAAGTGCCTTCGTGCATTTTTTTAGTGCAGAAGCCCTAAAAGGTACCAAAATTGACAAAATCAACGAGTTCAAAAACTGTTTTGAGCAGTAGAAAAAGCGTCTTGCGGGGCTCGGTGGCTCAGCCTGTAATCCCGCGCCTTTGGGAGGCTGAGGTGAGTGGATTGCCTGAGCCCGCGGGTTCGAGACCAGCCTGGGCGACTTGGCGAGACCTCATCTCTACAATAAATCAAAATGAGCTGGGCGTGGTAGCGCGCGCCTGTAGTTCCAGCTACTTGGAAGGCTGAGGCGGAAGGATCGCCGGAGCCCAGCAGGTGAAGGTTGCGGTGGCTGGGAGTGGCCACTGCACTCCAGTCTGGGCAACAGAGTGAGACTCTGACTAAAAAAGAAAAAGCATCTCGATAGGTGTATTTCCTCAGTACACTTAAAGGTGACTGAAATTTAAACATGAAGGGATAAATATACAATTTTTTATTAATAAATTCCAGTTTTGGGGAGTTCCCCCTTCTTGTATCTTCTTGGTGGGATGTCTGTTGAAGTCTTTAACCCAGTTTTTTATTGAGTTGTTTTGTTTCCTGTTGAGTTTTAAGAATTCTTTGTATATTTTGGGTAACAGTTCTTTAACAGTTGTGTCTTTTGCAAATCTTTTCTTCCAGTCTGTGGCTTGTCTTTTCTTTCTCTTGATATTATATTTGCAGAGCAGTTTTTTGTTTGTTTGTTTTGAGACAGGGGTTCTGCTCTGAAACCCAGACTGGAGTGCAGTGGCACCCTCACAGGTCACTGCAGCCTCAAAATCCTGGGCTCAAACAATCATCCTACCTCAGCCTCCTGAGTATCTGGGATTACAGACTTGACTAATTTTTAAAAATATTTTTTGTAGACTTGGGGTTTTGCTTTATTGCCCAGGCTGCTCTTGAACTCCTCCCACCTCAGCCTCCCAATGTGCTGGTATTACAGGCATGAGCCACCACACCTGGGTGAAGTTTTAAAATTTAATGAAGTCCAGCTTATACTTTTTTCTTTCATGGATTATATCTCTCATGTAGTATCTGCAAATTCATCACCTTGCCCATGACCATCTAGGTTTTTTCCTCTGTTATCTTCTAGGAATTTTATAGTTTTGTATTTTACATTTAGGTATATGGTCCATTGTGAGTTGATTTCTGTGAAAGGTGTAAAGTCTGTGGCTACATTCATTTTTTTGCATATGAATGTCCAGTTGTTCTAGCATTGCTTGTTTTTTGCTTCATTGTGTTGCTTTTACTCTTTTGTCGAAGACCATATGATTATATTTATGTAAGTTTATTTCTGGGCTCTCTATTCTGTTCCATTGATCTGTTTGTCTATTCTTTTGTCAATACAATATATATTTGATTGCTGTGGCTTCACAGGTGTCTGGTAAGGTGAATTCTCCAAGTTTGTTCTTCTACTTCAATATTTTATTGAGTATTCTGGATCTTTTGCCTCTACATAAAAACTTTTGTCAGTATCCACAAAATAACTTGCTGGAATTTTGATTGGGATTGTGTGGAATCTGTAGATCAAGTTGGGAAAAACTGACATCTTGACAAATTTGAGTCTTCTATTCATGAACAAGGAATATCTCTTTATTTATTGTGTCCTTCTTTAGCAGAATTTTGTAGT